TGCTGGCTTTATGCCTGGAGACATTTTCCTGATTGAAGTACAGATAACTGGAACGACCGAAGAGCAGAGATGCCCACTGAGCTGAGGAGGCAGAGATCAGTACTGAAGACACCTAAAGAGGCTAGGATTTGTTACAGGGCAGAGAAGACGAGGGAGCTATACAATGACTAAGGGACAGATAGACCTGAATGAAATTTTTTTGAGAATCTCTGGAAAAATGATGGGATATGCATACGCTAGAGGAGGCTACAGAAGGCTTCTAAGAAAATGACTGCCATGTAATTGAGGAAAGCTCAGAGACACTGGGGATGCATCCCAGCCAGAACTCCACACTGGAATAATATCTTAAGCAGCATCTGAGACACAGGAAGTGCTGAGGCTGTAGAGTAAGACTTATTTCCTAAAGTCAGGTCATTAGCTCTCTCAAGATTCACTCTAGAAAAAGTTCCAACCTAAGTCTCAGTGATATCTGTAGGGAAGATAGAATTTGGATATTGAACTCCCCAAGTTATTTGGATTTGGGAAACACTTTGGTCTCTGGACAACTTTTCACTAACAAAACATAAAACCCAGATTTTACAAGTCAAAAAGACCATCCCATAATAATAGTTTATTAGAATAAAAATTAGCACTCTTCATAGGAAGATATGAGATTCCAAAGACTCTACTACATATCATAAGCTATTTAAAATATAAAGGAAAAAATACAGGATATAAAAACTTAGGAAAACTAAACCATAGTCTAGAAAAAAGTAATCAATTGAAAATGACTGCAAGATGTCTCAGATGATAGATTTATCAGAGACTTTTAATAATCTCTTAAAATTATCACCAAACACTTGAAATAAAATATAACTACATACAATTTGAGTAGGTTGTTCCCATAGATATATAACAACTCTCAAAAAAAACATTAATTAAAATTCTAGAGTGAAGTGTACAATGAAAGGAAGTGAAATGAAAGACTGATGGGATTTGATGTCGTTTGGACACGTGCAAAGAAATGTCAGTGAATTTAAATTCAAATTACTATAAATAATACAACCTAGAAAGAGTATTTTTTTAAAATGATTTTAAAAAATTAGAGCCTCAATAACAGGTGGATTTATATCACATTGTCTAAAATAGGCATAACTGAAGGACAAGTGTAGGTAAATAATTACAGTAGCTGACAATTTTTCAAATTTTTTTTACAGTTTTTCAAATTTGACGGAAGACATGGGTATACATACCATAATGAGCCCCATTAGAATGAACCAGATAAAGTCTGTTACATCACAGTGGGACAACTATTTAAAGCTAAAATAATGGCATTGCAAATTAGGGTTCATAATATACATACAAGCAAAATGTATGACATCAGTAACACAAAGCACGTCATCTGAGGAAAAGGAGTTATTCTAGGATTATGACATTTGTGGAGTGAGATGTGACGTGGGTGGTGTGAGACATGAAGGATGAAAGGGGACGTGGAAAAGTGGACGCGTCCGTGGTAAAGGATGAAGATTAAAATGGAACAATTTTAACCGTAGGTAAACTTTGATAAATTAAAGATGCACATTTTTAATTGTTAACCCTGAAGCAATCCCTGAAATGATAATTAAAAAAAGTGGTATATGCAAAAAGATAGCGCAAGACACAAAATGTAAAATAATTTAATTAACCCTTAAATTGGCAGAAGGAAACTGAACGGCCAAAAAAAAAAAAAAAAAGGAAAAAACGCAAACAAATAAAAACTGGTAACGTAGTAACACTAAATACACGTGGACTAAACAGCCCAAGTGAAAGGTAGACATTAAAGCAAAAAGCAGAACCCAGCTACCACATCAAAATACACCTTAAATACGCAGACGTGCATTGACAAAACGGGATGGAAAGTAAAAGAAATGAAGAGCTGCATATCTTACACAAGGCAGGTTGTTAATGATATTTTTGAATGTACAAAAACGGAAAGAAGAAAACATGAAATACGAAGGAATAAGAAAACTGAATACAAGAGATACTGAGGTCTTCATGAAGGTTTGTGTAGCATATAAAGCAAATACTCAGCAACAATCAAGTCAGAAGCACAGGCAACTGTCAAAGGAAACTTGAAAGTAGGAATTGATGTGTAAATCGCAGCAAGTTGAGGGAAAAAAGTATTAGGCAGTTGCATGAACATGTATAGTTTATCTTGTTTCCCTGCCTCAGCCATAAGCAAACATGGCTTCAGTTGATGATTAGAACATTTTCCGGCTTCAGCAAAGAGTCTTGTAAGAATTTCTCCTACTGATGGAGTGTTATGTGTAGGAAATAAAATGGAAAAATGAAAATGAGTCTTCTCATTTCTGGCTATAGGGATCTTGTGTCAACTCCCAGTCCTCAAATTCCCACTATGTGTAAACTGGGCATTTAAGGGTCCTTGCCGTAGGAAGAACATGTGATTTAATTCCCAGACTTACTGGCTAAAACTCGGGTTCCTGCTGGTGCCTGCTCTGCGACAAGTATTAGCCCTGAAACCAGTGGGGACAGCAGGGGCACATTATTTAGAGTCAGAGAACACAGTCTTTATTCTCATATGTAGAGTTTAATTCTACTTCCTTGGCGGTGGGCCTTGGGATCCAGTTGTGGTCTTGGGGTCCAGTGGACTTGGGGTCTAGCTGGTAGAGGTCAGACATTTGAAAGTGCCAAACATCTCCAAATACAAGTGCAATGAAAGACGTGACAGGGAGTATAACCTCCCAAAAAAGGAAAAACATTGAGGACCAGAGTTGAAAGAAATATTCTCCGGACGTGAAGATGAGCAGAAGCCCAGGGGTGGAAAATGACGCTGTTGCAGGAACAACAGCAAAACACAGTCAAATGTGAAGCTGGGCTGGGCTGGAGATGCCAGGTCAGGCTTAATGTGGTTCTCCCCACGAAATGCACGGATGGTTGAAACTGAGAAACGTTAAATCGTTAAATGTTGCAATAAGAATGAAGGATATTTAATTTTCAAACTTTTATAGATAATAATTGTTCTTGATCCTTGTTTACAGGGTTTATTAATGAGCAGGGTGTGTCTATTCAGGGATTCCCATACAGTCTGAGAGAAAATCATAATTTGCATAAAGTAATTTTAGTTTCTGTAGTACAGAATTGCCTTTGTCTTCACAAACTTAACCCACAACCACAAACATCTATATCTTAAAACTAGTACCCCTTAAAGATGAGAAAATAAGTGGAACATGTCCAGATAATGTTAACAATACACAATTTGCTGAAAAGGTCTATTCAGAGGAACTATGGAAAATAAAATAACACAGATAAGATATCATTGGATAAAGAATTTGAACATTTTCTGCTGGTAATGTGGGACCATTTAGAGTGTTTTGTTCTTCTAAGACATTCACGCCCACTAACTGTATTTAGGAAATGGAGAGTGCATGAAATTATACTCTGCAGAGAGCCTGCAGGAAAGTCTGGTCCACCATGGATAATTCGTTTGCAAAAACACTCCAGATTAATTGCATACAAGAGCATTAACTAGCAATTTAGACATAAAGAGGGAAGAGAGATACTCCCATGGGGGAGAAGTGATCACTTCCTCCGTAAAGAGCCAGGCTCTTTAAAAGCAGGTTAAGTTCTTGATCAAAAACCCTATAGATCCTTAGCAATTTAACATTTTAAAATATAAAAATTTCATCAATGAAAAAGAATCATCTTCAGAAAAATTGAGAAAGGTAAATATAAACTATCAATATGTTGATATTCTCATTCAAGTTAATTCAGGATCAAGATTTAATAATTTCAAACAACTAAAATCATGAATAACTATGGTTGAAAAGATACTTATTATTTAAGATTGCATTATTTAAGCTAGATTTCTGATGTTCTGAATTAAAAAGTGAATGTGTTTGAAGCATTTGAAATATATAAATTTCTAATTTGCCCCATGTTAACAATAATAATAATAATAATGTTAAAACATTTTTCATTTTAAGAAATAACCTATTAAGAAATCTATGATGAAAGAATGGTGTATTACATTGAAATTAATTAAACACATTTTGCTATACTGATAATAAAGTAAATGTTGCCATTTTAAATAAAAGTATTTCTGTGAGAAGGAATCACCTTTTATTAGGGAAACTCCTTCTACTGGGGAATATGTGAAGCATTTATTTATTCCAAATTATATTTTACTGCAGAACAATATTTGGTTCAACTTTTTTGGCCCAAATGGACCACAAACAGGGAAGGATTTGGACACAGTATCTGACTACATTTGCTAAAATTTTTTTTTAATTGATTTTACTTTTCCCTAGGAACATTTGCTTTTGGCTTAAAATAATGAAACATGCCCAAATATTTTTAAAGTTAAAAATAGTTAAATATCAAAAATGTGTGTTTTTTAAAGCAATAAGATTTATTTTAATTCAGTAAATTAGAATGGGTATTGATAGAACATTATGACATTGAAAATAAAAGATTCGGCTTTTATTCTTGTAGGTTTCATTATTTTTCTCACTTCCGTTTCCACTTTTTCAAAAGCATCTATGGAGTAACATATTAGGGCAGAGCCTTGTGCTCTATACTTTACAGCATGAATAATGAATCCTTAAAGACAAGGGCAAAGAAGACAAGTATATAGTCAGTGGAACATTATGTGTGATGTTAGAGGTCAGATATTATATTATAGACCAGCTTGATTAGACAAAAAATTCACAGAAGTGGCCAACTAGTAGCTGAGTTGAGGTTTTGAATGGCAGAAATCGCTTATCTGCATTCTTGCTTCTCACACCATAATTTAAACAAAATATGTAGGCATACAGATCTTATTGGTATAATTAACAGATCTAGCATAAATCATTTAAGCATTTTATTTACTGAATTGCTTTTTTTTTTCCTGCAGATGAGTTTATAGCTCCTGGTTTCACAACAGATCTGCCAGAACCACAGAACACAAGTGTCAGAAAGTAACTAAACTTATTAAGACCAAAGCCCATGTCCCAATTCAATTACAAAAGAGGAAAATACAGCCAAGAAATGTAAATCCACAGAGAGAAAATAATTGGAAAATGACAGGAACAAACCTGACTATAGTGATGGAATTTGTCCTCCTGGGCTTCTCTGACATTCCCAGGTTCCACTGGCTGCTTTTTGGGGTATTCTCAGTCATCTCTTTGGTCATCCTGTTGGGGAATGGCATCATAGTTCTGGTAACAAGAGCAGATGTTGCTCTTCAGACGCCCATGTATTTTTTCCTCAGCAATCTTTCCTTCCTAGAGATCTGTTATGTGTCTGTCACTCTTCCCAGGATGCTCATGGACCTTTGGACCCAGACAGGAAGTATTTCTTTTTTCAGCTGTGCCACACAAATGTGCTTCTTCCTTATGCTGGGAGCCACGGAGTGTTTCCTGCTGGCTGTGATGGCCTATGACTGCTACGTGGCCATTTGTAACCCTCTGCACTATCCCCTCGTCATGAACCACAGGGCCTGTGTCCAGCTGGTGGTGGCCTCCTGGATCAGTGGAGCTCCAGTCCAGATAGGACAAACATGGCAGATTTTCTCTGTGTCCTTTTGTGGTTCTAATCAAATCAGTCACTTCTTCTGTGACATCCCCCCATTACTGAAGCTGGCCTGTGGAGACATCTTTGTGAATGAGATGGTGGTCTATCTATTTGCTGTGTTGTTTGTCACTGTTCCCTTTTTGTTGATACTTAGTTTCTATATGAGAATTATCTCCACCATCATGAAGCTGCCATCAAACACAGGGCGGATCAAAGCCTTTTCCATGTGCTCTTCCCACATCACAGTGGTAGTTTTGTTCTATGGATCAGCCACTGTTGCTTATTTAAAACCTAAATCTGATCAGTATGCAGGAATAGACAAACTGCTCTCTCTTTTCTACACCATTTTGACTCCATTATTCAATCCTATGATATATAGTCTGCGGAACAAAGATGTTAGAAAGGCAATGAGGAAATTTCTTCCCAAATTATCAGCATTGTGAGACATTTGAAATAACATAGAAATTATTCTTTTATGAATTTAATTTGTATGTAGACTTAATTGAAATCTACTTTTCTGTATTGTCCTCAATTTTTAAGTAAGCTAATGATGTGATTTCCTTTTTAGCAGAGCCTCATGTCCTCACATTTATGTCAATTGTGTTCATTTATTTAGCAATGTTTTGCTTTTAAAGATCAGTTTCCACCTCACTGTAAACTAGTAAATTGAGATGTGTAACTAACAAGATGATGTTTTATGCAGTATGTGCTATAATTGAAATTATTCCATTTTTCTCTTTTTTTGGATGACTTTCTAGACACTACCTGAACACCCTCTATTACAAAAACCAAAATATTCTTTGATGCTGCAGAGTCATTTTTGATTTCTTTATAGAAATAAAAGCCTAAATGCCTAAGGAAATAAGTATAGGAAGGATTAATATAAATGATCAATGTGTAATATAATGCATATTGCAGCACTATTTTTCTAAGCAAAAAAATGAAAAAATGAATGGACATATTGAGAAATATTTTAATAAAAATTGTACATAAATATAATAGAAAATTATGGAATCATTAAAAAAATCATGCTACACCTATATGATAATGGCCCCCAATACACTATTTCTTCTTTTACCCATGATTTTTTTGTTATTCCTTCCCACATGGACTCTTTTTTGAGGGGGGTAATTAGTTTAATTAATTAATTAATGGCAGTACTGGGGATTGAACCCAGGACTTTGCACACGATAAGCACGCACTCTACCACTGAGCTCTACCCTCCCTCCTTTCCACCCTGATTCTCAATTGAGCCAACCTTTGGCTGATGGAACATGAGTGGTCCTTAGATATAATCTTCATAAATGCTAATACTTAGGCTCTGTTTTCTGAGGCAATAAATAATGGATTTAAAGTCCATGCTCTGGATAAAATAAAAAATTGGAAGGTACAGGAGAAATTCACCCTCTCAAATGGCATGGTAATGACACCAGGAATTTGGACACAGATCTGTGGTCACTGAGCCAAAGACAGATTAATTTGCTGCAAATGTATTGATCCAGGGATGAAGCAGAGTTCTTTGATCTGGAGTCAGGTAACTACATGGAGTGTGGATTGAGGTTATGCAAGCTATGGTTTAGCTATGGATGAGGTGTGTTTGTTCAAGCCAGTAAAATATAATTATAATGCTACTTACAATTGTTAACTATGGGAGCCTATCCAGTTTTAGTTATATGGGGATGAAAAATAACACTGTACATTTTAATATACAGAGTTACATGGCTATATGCCCATGTGTTTGTGTTTAAATAAACCCAGTATTTGTATATTGGAGTCCTAATCCCCTTACCTGAGAATTTAACTATTTGAAGAGAGGGTTTTTGAGGAGGTAATTAAATAAAAATTATATCTTTAAGCAACTATTAAATACTATATATAAAAATAGATTAAAAAACAAAAGTCTTCTATTTAATATCTGGAACTATATTCAATATCTTGTAATAATCTTTACTGAAAAAATATGAAAATGAATATATGTATGTATATGCATGACTGGGACATTGTGCTGTACACCAGATATTGACACATTGTAACTGATGGCATGTCAATTAATTTTTTTTTAATTTTATCTTTAGGGTGGGTCTTAATTCAATATGGCTGTCAATCTTATAAGAAGAGGAGATTAGGATACAGATGCCCAGAGAGAAAAGATCACAGGGAAACAGAAAAAGAAGATGAGCATTTGCAAGCTGAGGAGAGAGGGCCCAGAAGAAATCAAGCCGGGACACACCTTGATTTCAAATGCTTAGCATCCAGAACAGTGAAAAAATAGATTTCTGTTGTTTAGCAACACAGTCTTATGTACTCTGTTGTGGTAATCCAGACAAAATAATATAACCAGTATCAGTAGGCACATGTGTGTGCATGTGTGTGTGTAAACTTAGTAAGAAGCGGATGGATGATTATTTTCTGCATGTGTACACACTGCACAGGTGCTGTGTTGACTATGATCTTTATTTATGAAATGTCTGAGAAGAAACACAAGGCACTAATATACCAAAAAAAATCTTGTATTATAATTTTTAACATGAGGACAATAATATCAGTCTTAATTTCTTTCAGTTTAGCATTTAGTGTGCAAATATACCTTAGTGACAAATGATTTTTTCCCCACTCTCTTCATCACCTCTTTGACATCTTTGTTCCTTAAACTATAAATGATGGGATTCAGCATGGGAATTACAATGGTATAAAAAGTCGATGCTATCATGTCATGGTCCAAGGAGTAGCTGGAACTCGGTCTCACCTACATGAAGAGGATGGTTCCATGGTAAATGGACACTGCAGTTAGGTGAGAGCCGCACGTAGAAAAGGCCTTCCTTCTCCCTTCGGCAGAGTGCACCCTCAGGATGGCCAGCAGAATGAAGCCATAGGAGATCAGGACCATCAGGATAGTGACTGTCTCAACAGAGCCCACGAAGGAGAAGAGTAGAAGCTGGTTTGCATGAGTGTCAGAGCAAGAAAGAGCGAGGAGAGGAGGGATGTCACAAAAGACATGTCTAATTTGATTGGACTCACAGAAGGACAGGCTAAATGTGGCCACTGTGTGCACAGAAGCATGCAAGATGCCACCAACATAGGAGGCAGTGATGAGTGGCAAATAGACCCTGGGTGCCATGTGCACTGAATACAGGAGGGGGTTGTAGATTGCAACGTAGCGATCATACGCCATTGCGGACAAGAGGAAGCATTCTGTGGTCCCTAAAGCAATAAAGAGAAACATCTGGGCTGCGCATCCAAGATACGAAATGGTTTTATCCTCTGACAAGAAGCTGACTAACATTTTTGGGGTGACAACTGAGGAATAGCAGGCATCCAAGAATGATAACACACTCAGAAAGCAGTACATAGGGTTGTGGAGCCGAGAATCCATAATAACCAACATAACCAGTCCCAAATTTCCTATCAGAGTAAAAAGATAGATTGCTAGAAATAGTAAAAATAGGAAAGCTTGCAGCTCACAATCATCTGTGAAGCCCATCAGTATAAACATGGAGACTTCAGTCATATTTTTTATTGGAATCCTGAATAAATCTAAATCTGATGGCAACCCTGGCATATTAGTTTTGATTTTTAAGTTCTAAAGGCAATCTGTGGTGAAAATAGGGTCGTCACACTAACATCCCCTTAGATGTAATTCTTAGAAAGACACAGTGAAATCCTTTGCAGTGAGGGAATAGACAGTGATGAGGAAGTTTTGAGTCCACACGGATGCATTACCCTGTAAAATAAATTAAAGAAATTTTTTCATTCCATTGTTGGTTAGATTTGTCATGTTAAAAATAACACTAATTTATATGGTTAAAATTCCAGTTTATTTTCTGTTAAATTTATTGCCTACTGTTTTCCTATTATATCATTTCAAAAAATCACAAAGGGAAATGAATATAGGAATTTTTAAATCAGAAAATAGTGGGTTAGAAATTATACATTGAGTGCTAACCCTAGATTTTCTATAGTTTATGCCTTTCCTTAATGTTCACAACTGGTAAAATGGACACAAACATACTTACATCACAAGATGGTGTTGAATTTAAATGGTAAATGTCAGTGTGGAAATTCATAAATTTCAAAGTACTTCCAGATGACTAAATGGGATAAGTTAGACTCGCTTTTCAACTTGTCATACAAGGCAGCCTTTTCCAACCAAACCATCTGATATCCTCTCTTCTGACTATTTTCCCATCTTGTTAGTATTTCTAAAACAGTGGTGAACAGAACAGCAGACGTTACTTTGCCGGTAAATACAGCTTGTTGGCCAAGAAATACAGCATTTTGTTGTTGCGGTGGTTTTGTGGTTTGTTTTTCTGCTTCCCTTCTTTGAAAGACATACCATTAAGTTTGTCCATTTTGTCTTCCACAATTCATTATACTCATCATGTTTGTCAGATTTTAACTACGTGCCAATGTAAAGCCTTTTTCAATGCACACAGTCTTTATCCCTGCAAAGTCCTTGCGTGTATTTTTGAGACATATTTCTGTCAAAAATAAATTATGGCCATTCATTTCATATATTAGAGTTGCATCTCGAGTTTCTATAATTACTGTAAAATAAATATCACCTGATAATATATAATAAGCTTTCAGAACATATTGCTAAAAGAATTGCACCTTTATGAAGCCACACTGTGGTGTTTTATTACTGCCATATTTCCCTACATGGTCAGAGTGCTGCTTATTCCCTGGAGTCTGAAGAAAGGAAAGTGCGTAACAAATACACAGCTTGTTCAAGAGTCACCAGTATCTGGACCTAAAGCCCCCCTCTTTGAAACATAATTTAATATTGCACCTACCATATTTAGGGGCATGATTTCAGCCTGGTGACTCTTGTTTTTCCTCTGAGTGTCACAGACCGAAATGCAATAAAGGAGTGAAAACCTGCCCTGCTTAGGACAGAGTTGAATTCAGTGACCTACAAATGATTTAGATTCCTAACATGAAACTATATTTTTGCTTTATTGAGGCTCCCATATATCAAGAAGAGAAGAAGCAAAACAACTATTAGAGTAAAAATAAAATTGTACGTCTTTATTTTCACAGAAACATCTTTCCAGATTTACACAGAAAATTTTCCTAGTGCAATAATAATTAGCTTTATAAGTGTGGGTTCTAATAAAAACGAACAAAGAACATGACTTAATCCTCACAGATTTCTAGAGTAAAATAATATCATTAACTTAAATAGTGACTTCTGTGTTAATTGAGACAACTCACACATTACTTATGAGAAATCACATACATGAAATTTTAGCTTAGTTTGAATGATTATGTTAATAAAATAACTTATAAAACCATCAATTAATAACATGCAAATGTGTGAATGTATAGTTTAGGTATCATGAATAATACACTTATGTTTTAAAATTTTCTTGTTTTCTCTCTTTCACCTCTGTCTGTCTATCTATCTATGTATCTTCATTTCTCTCTCTCTTTCTCTTTTGCT